ATAACACCGGGTCATAATTTAAACATGAGAACATAAAATATGAATCACAAAAACAAACTGCAACTAATGTATTAGACCTATATAAGCCTGTTTAAAGCAAAGTAAATGATAATCGAATGTTTTTCATTAATAATTTGAGCGGCAAAGGATCGCAAAGCTCAGAGCGCGCCCAGTACGGAACTGACGTGTTATCGGGCGGGCGGTTTGCGCGCGACTAAGCTTTTCAGGCATCGGGGTAGTGGCGCCCAGCCGTCTGCCAGGTGTTATCTGCCCTGCTCCCTCCCCGGGGGTCCGCCCGCTCTGTCATCCCCCGAACATCTCCAACGACACGTCCTTAGCTTAGCCGAAATGTAAACGCATTTAATCTGACGACTCTAGCAAATCGCCGGCAAGTCAGCTATCGATGTTGATGGAGAGCTTCCTAGAGAGCTTCATATTTCATGAGTGTGTGAGTTTGTGTGTCTGTGTGTGTGAGGATTATATGAGACAATGTGATGCTTACAGCTAACTTAACAATACTGCTATTAATATGTTGGGCATTTTTTTTCTATAAAATAAATATACACCACTGTATAACTTAAACATAGCGAACAAGAGTAGATACAAGTTTAGTTACTTGAATTTTTTTCATGAACGTTTCTTTATAATAGTTACTAAATAACTCATCGAGGTGACGTAACTTATCTCTGTATTGTTTGTTTACAGTAACTATTATAACTTAAATAATTTAAAGAGAAGTAAAAAATTAATAAAATAAAAGTAATTTTTTAAGCTATAAATTTTACGATACATATAATTGTCTTTTATATATGTGACAATCTGGTTATAACTTTTTATTCAAGTTAAATGTAACTATATTGTCTGCGTCAAAGGCTTTCTCGCGGGGAAAATTTCCATTCTAACCACTACCCGACTACCGCAGACTTGTCATTTAATTTCGTCTAATGCGAAACTTTGAAGGGTTGCGAAGCGAGGCACTACAGCGTTTCATTTATTAAATTCCTTCACTTTGATAGGCTTTGTATTATTATTATTATTAATAAACAGATATTTCAGATAATTTTAATAAAGCTATCATCCGTGGAAAAAGGAAAACATTTGTCGGGCTTCATTAAAAACTTTACACAATCAAATTTATTTTAATAGCTCTCGCACGAGACACCGTCCGCGCGTTACGAAATTCGTTACCTCGTACCTTTTAAATCTTTCCTAGACCTCCACTGACATTACAAGATCAAGATATAATAAATCCGTTCAGGCGTTCTCGAGTATTAGCGAGACTAACGAACAACAATTGATTTTTATGTATTTAGATTAGACTAGCTGTCGCCCGCGACTCCGTCTGCGCGGTAAAAAAAATAGATAGTAACCGATTCTCAGACCTACTCCATAAGCTCACAAAATTTAAAATAAAAAATAAAATAAAACTTCTTTATTGCCATCACACAAATACATCAAATCACACAGTAATTATAAATATATATTTATATGTATGACGACAATGGGCTGCAGGCTCAGCGTGTACCGCATGGCATGGCCATGCGGAGCTGGTTTTCAGCCTATCCCGTTCATGAGAATCTGTCAAGCCGTTTCGGAGGAGTGTGTGAACGTAAATTGTAATACGAGAATTTTATATATAAGATAGTGCAGCATTGCTAACCAGCATAGATTATGAAATTTAAAATAAAATGAAACTAAAGTATCGATAAAATAATATCTGTTTTAAAATAATACATAACTAGACAATGCACCTAATCTTGATGATGGCGTCCATAGCAAATTATCCGCTCAATGAAACTCAAGCGACGTTCCCCTCCATCCAATAAGACATTGGAGCATGATATCTCATGGAATCCAGTATTCAGTTAACTATAAAATCTTCTTATGTCAATTCAACATTAATTTAAAAACAAAAAAAATATACTTGGTTATTATTCGCATGTCAAAGATTAAAAGTAAACTAAGAGAGATATATTCAAAGACTACTAAAATGAAAAAAAAAAACGTTTTTCTATCAGCCAATAGAAAAGGCTGTATATTTTTTAACATCTATCCAAGCGAAGCTGCAGAGGATTGTGTTTTTTTGGTAATATTAAGTTCAAATGTACTTTAATAACAGAAAACATTCATTATTATGCCTATTATAAATATCATAAAGTATCATTTCTTATGAGAAAAGATTGCATGTCTGACGCGTAATCCTAGTACGTTATAATTATTTAAAGCTTGAATAATTGAAGAAAATTAATCTAAAGGCCTACTACTACTGTATCAATGGAGTACATGCAGTTCAAGTTTGTCTTCCGTGTGGTAATGGTATTGCTCATATCGAGAGAGCCAACGACAGTAATTGTTGTGGACTTTGGCAATTTCCAGAAGCAATTAGTTGATTAAATTTAATTGAAGATCAAGAACAATTAAACAGTTTGGCTCACTTAACCTCACACTCGAATGCATCCAATCAGCAATATGTTACGCTCAGAGCATTCAAACAATGAAGCAGTATATGATAAAACAAAAGAGATTCACGAGGAAAAACAGGAATGAGGTAATAAATAAATAACGAATACGAAAATGTTGTTTGAATTTTGCTTCATTGTTCACAACGTTCTTTTACAGTCTCTTTTGATATAATTTACAACAGAAATACGATAGAGGTCATTAAAAATATAAGAAACAATTATTTTTCCTTTTAAATTAAAAATAAAGTTCCAACAAAAAGTTTTAAAACTTTTTACAATTCTAAGCACAAGTCTTTAATGATTTGTATCAAAAAAAGTATTCTCCAAGAATTGTTTTTTTTATTAATTTGCATATTTTATTATACTATTTCTTTTAGTTTAATTAACTATTGAAAAGTATTTTTTCTTTGTGCAAATAATTTGCAATCCTTTACTTGTCAATCTGCAAAAGCGCCATCTATTACGTAATGCTGAAAATACTAACGCCGTCTTGTATTTAGTTATAACCTATTCACACATCAGAGAAGCTAGTTTATATTTTAATCTATAGTTGCCGTTTAAATACTGCAATTATTATAATTTTCTATTTTATAATCATAGAGAAGCGAGTTATAGGTCAAAAACCTTGTCTGATTCATGATCACATAAAGGGGCGCTGTTATCGCGGTTATTTCAACCAAAGAGTATAAAAACCTACTTATAAACTAGATTAAACAAAGGGATTCAAATTAGATCAATAAGCATTCGTTCACATGTATAGACATTCACACTTGATGCTAAATGTATCATCAGACCTTAACAAAGGACTATGCGTTCGAATTAATCAAACACTTTATCAATATAAATGTCAAAACAAATATGGCGTCTACTAAATAATCCAGCGACACTCCATCATCTTCATGGAGATCCATCAAGTAAATGATTAATTATTCGGGATGATAGGTATTTTGGATTTTTTTTGATTTCTTTAACGGCAAGTATTGAACTTTCTCCGGACCCATTGGATCAACCGCAACACTTTCTCATTCTTATTTCTACTTTTTATTTATATTTTCTTTAAGTTCTATTTCTTTCTATAGACCTAATTGCTACTACGCTCATAATTTTTTTCAAAGAATAAATCGGCGAGCGACATCGATTAATATTATAAAACGAATGACTCATGTTCCATTTTTCATATTAAAGCTCAAAACCTTATAATATAGAAAACATTAAGTAATTATATCTTCACTAGTATTATAAGTCAATTTTATCGCATAATTTCGGCGACTCACATAACTTTAATAAAAATGACTTACCTCCTTTTCCTTAGCGTAGTAGAGCGTGCGGCCACGCAGCCGGAAGTAGCGGCGTTGCCAGCGTTGAAAACTGCGCGTCTGCTTCATCAGGTAGCCTTCCTTCACCACCGGCTGCAGACAACAAACATAACAGCTTTATATTACATCATTATTAATCGTTGGTTTCTGATATCTTTTATGTATAAAACATATCGTCGACCCTGTCTTTCATCTTTAATAAGATAGAGTCAACAATATGTTTCAATCGGTGATTTTGGTTTTACAAGCCCACGGTAAAAGAAGTTTTAATAAAGACCAAACAAGATTTAACCAAAACTCTCTGTCCTAGATATAACCTTCTAAACTTATTTCTTTGGATACTTAGCTACCAGAATTCTGACATAATTCACGATATCTAATTATAGAGAAAGGTAAAATAATACATTAGAACCTGGATGACCGAGCTTTGCTCGGTATTTTTTTTTAAATTGTGTTTTTTGAAAATTATATTTAAGTACGAATTACTAATAAAATGATGAAATATGAATAACATTTTTCGATTATACCGCTAGAAAAAGTTAAGTTTATGTTTAAGTTGATTATCGATAAAACACGAATAAAATGACATTTTCTTATTCTTAATAAATAAAATAAAATTATTCCTAGCTAGATCGATCTATCGCCCTCGAAACCCCCTATATACTAAATTTTATGAAAATCGTTGGAGCCGATTCTGAGATTCCAATTATATATATATATACAATAATTGCTCATTTAAAGATATAAGAATGGTCGTCTCAAGACTATTAATACACAGCTCCATCAATCTTTGATATTAATATTACAAAATAATCTATTACATTTATAAGTCATCCCTTAGTATCGAGTAGAATATTAATCAACTCATAGAGCATTAAGTTATGAAAATTGTATCAATGTATTGACAAAGCAGCCTTATAAATTGTTATAAAAAAAAAATAAGAGTCGAAATTACATTTTAAATGAATTCGACGTAACATTCTTAGACTATTTAGATTTATACCTGTGTTTTTTTTATATCAGAAGGTGCGGGCAAACGAGCGAACGGCCACCTGAAATCACCGAAGTAGCGAAGTGACCGTTGCCCATAGACATACGCAATTGCATATGCGTTGCCTACCTTTAATCGATGGAGGAGAGGATGTACAGAAGGAAAATATTTTCCCTTCCCATGCATCCTCTCATCCGGAAAGTCCACTTCCACTTCCCATACTTTCCTTATAAGAAAAAGGGTGGGAAAGGAAAAAGGACTAAATTAGGCATTCGGGTCGCACACACATCAGACGAAACGCGGAATTACTTCCACTTCACGCCTGTCTTCTGTATGGTGGTGGTATTTCACCGGGCGAGCCGGGCGTCATCGTGCGAAGATGTTAAAGCGGGCTCTACCACTGTTATAATGTGAGTACAGTAAGACAGTAGCGCTGGTCTAACATAGACTGTATGGGCTCACTGGCGTCAGTTAGTGTTTACATTATGCCGGCGTTCATTTTAGGCGCTACTGTCCCACTGTACTGGAATTATATAAACCAGTGATTAAGATAAACTCGTGGAAGTGGATATGCAAAAGAAAGGAGTGAATTCAAAACATATCGGCTGATAATAATATATGGAAGAGTAGTAAATGTGCCGACCCTCCGTAAGGTAAAGAACTTGATGGTGAAAAACCTCTATCATGTATTTTACTGATATTATAAATGCTAATGAATGGATGGATGTATGTTTCAAGGCATTTTGAGAATGGCTGCATGGATCTCATACAACCTGGAAGAACATATTTTGTTTTTTTTTAATTCTGCGCGGACAGAGCCGCGAGCGATGGCCATAAAAAATAAAGTATTAAATATTTGCTAAATATAAATTTTACATTAGCGATATAATTTTCGAACAGTTTTTTATAATTATCGTCGTAGCGGGAAGTTAATGCGAAATGCATTAAGCACTTTCATATAATTAATACAACTTCCATCGCTTCCATTTCGGTTAAGTATGCTTTTAACTCACGACCACAGACTAATTAAGATGGAAATTTGAAACTAACCTTAAATAAACAGCACACAAGTAGGTACTAAGATCTTACTTATATTATAAATACGAATGTTTGGATCGATGCTTGTTAGAAGCTCTTTCAGGAACAGCTTTGACAGTGGTAGAGCCCGCTTTAACATCTTCGCACGAATCGGCCCGGCTCGCCCGGTGAAATACCACGACCACATAGAAGACAGGCGTGAAGTGGAAGCAATTCCGCGTTTCGTCTTATGAGTGTGCGTCCCGGAGGCCTAATTTAGTCATCTTTCCCTTCCCATCCTTTTCTTTATAAGGAAAGGATGGGAAATGGAAGTGGACTTTACGGATGGGAGGATGCATGGAAAGGAAAGATATTTTCTTTCTGTGCATCCTCTCCTCCATCGATTATAGGTAGGCAGCGCATATGCAATTACTTATGTCTATGGGCAGCAGTCACTTCGCTATTTCAGCGATTTCAGGTGGCTGCTCGCTCGTTTGCCACCTTTTGATATAAAAAAAAAAAGCTCGACAGATGTCGATGAAATTTGGCTTAACTGTAGATCATAGACTGGAAGAACACATAAGCTACTAATTAAGTTTTTTTTTTAATTCCACTAGAATGAAGTCGCGTGCGACATCTAGTAGCAAAAAAATTTAGTTTAGTTTCATAAATAAGCCTTCGGATAATGAACATAATATATCAAAAAATCATACTTAAATTTCTTTAGTCAAAAATACGATAATTTAAATTGTTTTTCATCCACAGTTGCTTACTTTATACGCTAGAGGGCGATGAAAATTACACCCATTTTATAGCGACTAGAATTTCATAGTAAACATTTAAAACGAAAGGCCGACCTAGTAATACGATACGGGGTGCATTAGTACTTAATGTGGCTTTTAGTTCACAGGCGGTCTGCCAATATACTAATACCACATCGAAATATACTCCTGATTAAGTATGTTTTTTTTTACCAGATGTAAAGCGATTTTTTACAATTTCGCACTACATCTGGTAAAAATAATGATAAGATTATTAATAAAATAATAGCATAAGTAAAATCTTACTATCTTACTAATATTATAAATGCGAATGTTTAGATGAATGGATATATAAACTTATATAAAAAAACGGGTAAACACTCTAGTAGTAGTACATTCGTCCGGTGGCGGCACCGACTAGTTTCGAGCCCATCGGAGGCCCTTCATACATATAGAACATAGCCTGGAAGAACAGATAGGTAAATTAAATTATAATAATAAAAATTAAAGACGTAGGTAAAGCCCTCATTCGAACTGACGCTTTTGCGCGGCTCAAGCGACGAACGCTTTAAAATTACTCTTGTTCCGGTCGCCCAGCGTTCAAAATGCAACAGTGCGCGATAAAAACATATAGCATTTTGCCGTATGAGTAGATACGTAGAAATGCATTCGTTCTATTTTAACCCATTTTTAAAGCGCGATAAAAATGCGCCTGTGCGAATGGGGCTTAAAAAACTTATTAAATATTCGTATGCACGTGTGTATGATCTACGTATGTATGTGTGTGTAGATCTGGGAGACACCAATGTGTTGGTATGAGTCACTCTAATTTGAAATCATCGGTGATAAATAAGAAAATGTCTATTTCATTAAGTGTAATTAATTTTACTTGAACATAATTCTTCGAAAAGGTTAACAAAGAGGATTAATAAGATTATAATTACAGTTTAAAATAATTTCCAAGTAACAGGAATATTAATTCAAATTAGTTTGTTTAGTAATTAGTTAAATTATGTGAAAACTAACTGACACCCAATGAAAGAGTAGAAAGTCAAACACCTCAAGCGAAATTGTTTTCATAAATAACGAATTGATTCAACTTTAAGGTCGAATTTCCATTGAAGCAAAAATAAAACCAGACGTAAATATATCGACAAATCATCTAATCTACACTAAGAGCCTCCCTAAGCACTGAATTAGTACGGAATTATTTATTGTTACATGAAGGATGATTATAATCAAATTGAAAAGAGACCACGCAACTTTTAATTAAAAAAAAAGTAGAATGTAATGAAAAGCGCATCGCAACCTAAACATAACATAACATTTAACAAGTTCATAATACACTATCATTCGATACCAAACGTCTTGAAGACTTATACACCTAATCCTCTCGACCGTGGTCACATTAATTTTAGCTAGTCAATACGAGTACTTCATTAATAACGCAGTAAAAGTATTCAGCATCAAACCCTACGCGTTAATAGTCTCTCGGCAGTCATTTTTCATGCGCTCGGCGCTGCGCCAAACGTATAAACATGACCAATGATAATAACTTATGCGCACTCGACTAGAAAACATTAACTATTCACTAAGGTCGATGACGGGGGAAAGGTTCAAATAAAGGAATAACAAATGACTAGCGAAGTAACATCCATTTTATTGTATTTGTACTATTTATCTTACTAATATTATATATGCGAAAGTTTAAATGGATGGATGTTTATTTGACGGTACATATCTCCAGAACGGCTGAACCGATCTTAATTAAATTTGGCATGGATTTAGACACATAGTCTGGAAGAACACAGAGGCCGTTGTACGCGCGGACGGAGTCGCAGGCGACAGCTAGTTTTTTTTATATTCTATACAGCTACGATAGCTTTTGTTTTTTAATGAAAGATTTCAGTTCATTTCCTTATATACTTATGATTTCTAATTTCATTATTTGCTAGTTAATTAAACACAGATTAACAGTTGGTTTCCGAGACTAAAATCTCTCATCCCTGTCATTATGTTTGAAAAAAAAGAGATAACAATATTTTTTAAAAGTAAACTTTGGTCTCAGAAACCCATGGCTACTGATTGTCAATTTTCACGTCATTATCTTACAGGGATATACTAAGCAGCATATTAAAAATCTAAGGTTCGAGAACAGTCAGTTTGTGAACGAAATTAAGATTTTTAATATTATTGTCGTATATTTCAAGCCCAAGGATTGATAAGTACTTCGAAGATGGCCTGATTTTATTAAACAAAAACTTCATAGTGTACACACCTTTACAATTGGTTAAAGATGAAAAAGCGCTAAAGCTGTAATGAGA